ACCGCGTTTGCACATTTTAGCTGAATCATAGCAATAAAAGGCACTGGGCGACTTGATGTACTAATATGTTGCCCTGGGCCTAAATCTTTTCTCCAAATGCAGTCGGTTACATCCACCTGCTTTGGTAGCTGCTGTTGCCTGATAGGTTGAGGCAAGATATAGTATGCGGAAGCGAGGGAACTGCACTTTTCATTAAATCGGTCCCAGAAAGACTAAACGACCACCCAGTGATTTTGGGATGTCCGGTGATGGGTCAAAAGAGTTCACTTTGGACAAAGTCCACAAAAGGTGAAACTTGCAGTTAAAGAATCTGAAAACTGTAACGAACTGACAGTGAATAGTAGTGCAGTGTTTTCGGGGGAGCAACACCTAATTGGTGCTGGCAATGAATAGCGTTTCGTGAGCCAGAAGTGTCTGCTATTAGTGGCGCATTTGTACCATGCAGTTTTCTGGATTTATTACGCTTATCTAAGTGTTTTCTAGTACCGATAAGTTTTATAACATTAGTGAAGATTTGCCTTCACTTGAGGACGATCTTATCTTTCTAGACCATTTCTTTTTTGTCACGAGTCGATGTATGGAGTCTTCAGCTGACGAATTGGAATGAATTAAAGGAACGTGCTTGTTTATCCGTTTCTTCACAATGCCTAAAGCCTATGGCGGGTAACAGACGACAAGTCCAATCTGGAAACTAGGGCAACCGAACACAGCGGGTGTTTTGTTCTTCTGAGTCTAACATCAAACAGTTATTTAGCTGTGAAATATATATCGCCAACGCATACACACCTGTGGATGTTCATTAGTCATCATTCCACCGGAATCGTCATGCAGTTAATAAATGCCTCATACATAGCACCCTCTAATTAACTCTTCATTTGTTTACAAGGTAAACAAAATTTATTCTCCTCCTTCTAGCAACTAGGCTTTAACTAGAAGGTACAAAGACCGTCTCGAGGAATAATGGCAAATTCCCATCGCTATGTAGATAATCGATGTTTCTAGGTTTTCGCCAAACGGACACTGCAGCTGATGCCTGCTAATTCCCGGGTTAGTGTACACCATCAATAAACACTGTGGTTCAGTAGCACCCAGTTGCCTATGTGTGCTCGTGCAAGATGACATTTGTTGTTTGACGCAGACCGAAAGTGCATCAAATATAGTAAATCAGCACTTCGGCATCCTTCGTTGGACATTCGCAAAGCTCGACGCTTCGGTCTTTCCAAAAATGTTCGGCGCATGCGGACTACGCTATCCAAACTTGGCAACCCTGGCAGAAGCACCACCTCCACGCGTTCGGTGCCACATAATACAGGGCGAGGAAGAACCTCAAAGGCTTGTCCTGCCTTTCCTGCTTACCGGCTCAGGCTAAACATTGAAAAAGCGTACAGCAATCGTTTTCGGTGTCTACGGCGAGATCTGATAATGGTGCATCAGATCCTAAACAACTCTATCCACACATGCCATCATCATTTGAACCTCCACAAAAACACATCTCTACGGGGTCATAACCTTAGGTTGACCACGCAGTACAGCCGACCGCAATTTCGACTGAATTTTTTATCCTTCCCAATGTCACGGCTCTGGAACTAGCTTCTGACGCATGGAAATAGTGCCCCTACCTTATCCCTACCAAAAAGCGCCTTGACGACACCCTAACACATTTACACTGTGTGGTGTGGCCCATGAGCATCTTTGACAGCATTAGTGCAGAACTAAAGCAGACGATGTCATAAACCTCTTAAACTCCAGGTAGGAAAGCTCACACATGTGCTACTCCATACCTCTTGGTGAGTCATGCGCGTTCTTTTGCTGACACAGTGTTTGTAATTTTCACTCTAACCATCCCACGGGACTTGTCCAGCATTTGCTCTCACACCCGTTATAAACCATTGCCTCATTACTTGTTTGCTCTTTTTGCTAAGGACTATTTTATATTAACCAGATTTTACTGGAATTAAGAAATTGGTGTCATCGAAGCAATCAACTGGTTACCTTGCTTGCAACGTACTGCATGAGACCCATAGGCTTGACGAATTTATCATCTAGCTGCACAGTGAGCACTGCATCTCAGCGAATGCACTTGAGCGCTTCGAGTCCTGCCTCTCTCTTCACAAGGTGCACCCTATCAAACATACAGTTCACCAAATTCATAATCACGTGATCGCGTGAACTGAGTATGATTATGTCGGTTTAAAGCTGGCTCATGCATGTACATATCAATGCTGTCGGAATCAACCTTGGAGTTAATGACTGCGAATTCTGAGGGATTCAAAGAAGAGCACGCTGTTTCGGGTTTATTATTATGCCGAAATGTTCCTCCAAGGTTTTATGCTTCCCTAATGGCTATCTGACTAGGAGTCGTTACATTGGGCCTCTCTGATGTTTCATGAAACTCTGTGTACTGAAGCTAACATTCTCTTGGCTTTTCTGGCTCTTACTTTCACATAACTGTGAAATTAAAGAAAGCAGTAAACCATTGATAGACCTCAGAGATCTCAGTGGCTATTTGAATCGAAGCGAAGCAATGCTTTGAACGTCGTTCACCCAAACAACTAGCATGACAGCTATGTGAAGCATTTTACCGAGGTGGCACCGTTGTACCATCCAACTACAAATTATCTGTGGCTTGCGGCTGTTATGGAATTCGATCATCTTTTCCCGATACTTGTGATGTTGTTGACGGAATAAACGTTATGCTTTCTGTACTAGCTACTTAGAAGGATTATAAACTAGCAACATTCAAAGTATAGTTGACTGGAATCAGTCATGTAAATATTTGGAACGGATGACATCATCATCTGGTGCGATAAACCTTTTCCTCATTTTTAGCTGTAAAGTTTATTCAGTCTCCTCGCAGATCCCCCATCAATATTAAACGCGCCATAAGATGGAGAAATCCGTATCATTTATCCACTTTGCTCGGTAGATTCGTATATATCCTGAGGGCATAACCCAACTAAGGCCAGTGCACCGCTTGCTGCAGTGGACGAACATCCATGCGTTCTCACGTTATCGTTTACTGTCGGCGTCTTGGTAACAGTTGGAAACAGGTTCTAGCGTTAATTGGCCTCCCCAGTTAGTCAAATTCATTATAGGAAGACAAGGTTTGTGAACGCTTACGATTGGTGATAGATAAGGACTAACGTTGTTAGAAATTGTATAGAGGTTACTGGTGTGGTGGCCCCATCCTCGTAAATAGGAGATGAAAATGCAAAACCTACTTTACTGCCGCACGTTATGGTGTAAGCACCGCCCGCAATCACCAGTCACTGGACGATTCGATAGCTGAAACCCAGCCCATGCAAACGTCAGTTTTCACCTCGATGAACTAGTGAGCATCTGGACTCGTGCTAACTAAAATTCAGGCGACTTTTCAGAGCGGGTGAAGTATCCCTCATCCAGGTTAAATAGTCCAATTAATTCGAATGGGTGCGGTGTGGTTTGAAGGACTTTGAACATGTTAGTTGGATACACTAGTTGATATGGCAAGGAGCCGACATCAATGACGTTTACGTTGTGACTTTCTTTGTCCCTCCCCATCCAGATTATCCTCCTTCAGACCACGATCTCCCTCTTGACGTGTAATATTTTACGAAGCATACTGTAGCCTCAAATTCTTGGAAGATACTTGGAACCGATCGAGTAGTCATGAGTTCAGAGAGGTTTGAAATTACTATACCAAACCGATTGTTTTCAAACCTCTCTGAACTCATACTGTAGCCTGTTCTTAGCATTCTATAATTTTCAGCATCTTGCTTTTTTCGTTTATCTTATATGTATGTATTGCGGCACAATAGTTGAAGTGTGTTTCTCACCTTCAGCTTCTGTGTTTTGATGATGATGCGTTTCAGTTATTTTTTTACTAATTGGAAAACTAGCGTAACCTTCCGAATCCGGCAGTCCAAAGACGTTGAATGCTCTTGATTTATGCATTCGGTGGATCGTGGTAGCTATTTTCATAATTAGGTTCATACGCTTAAGCCGGGCAAACAGATACATTCGTTCTCAGAAAATCGAAATCTAGTTACTCGTAACCACTCATCAGATAATCGTTGCAGGTGTCTTGAAATCAGAACGAATCTAGCGATGGGTGCACAAATTGATTTGATAAAGATCGCTTTTATGCTGAGTCAGGGTAAGTTTTTAGATATTGATTTTGTCACAGTACCTAACACATGCGAGTATCGCTAGAAACAGATCTAACCTGTGAGACATATCCAGATGCTGTCACCCGACACTCATACAACCTGTCGGTGAATGCCTTTATCTATTCCAACGCACAGTAACATCTTGCATTAATGCGGTTGTCGTTGCAAGACATTATGTACCGGTATTGGAATGTACCAAATGAGATATCTTTTACAACTAAACACGACTAATGCAGTGAACACGGCATGTGCCGAGGAATGCCCCGTGCAACCCAACACGTTTAGACTACTGTCCTCCCACATTTCTATCGAATTTTATTACCAACATTTGCGCATCAGATCGGTGCCAGACCCTAACAAGTTGGACCGGCCATTATAGGCCACGAATATTGTTCCAAAAGGTAGGTTATGGTGTCCTGAAGACATCTGATAGTTAAACAGGTCCCACACATAGAAGACACTTAGAGCAAACCTAGCGCAAAAAGTTGTAATAACGTGGTATTGGGTGCCTGTGCCGTTCGTGCCAATACAGTTTGGTACCATTGGTAACGTAGTGTACGTGTTTATAGTAAAATGCAATTTCGCAATTTTCATGTGGTACAGGCCAGTGAGGTGTTTTTCCAGTGACGGGACATTTTTTATCTCAAATGTTTTCGTAATATATAAGTTGGATTTTTGCCTAAAGATCCTCACACTACCTCAAGAGAAAATTAGTGGGAGGCAGCTAATTTCCAGTAACAGAGGCGCGTTCTGAGTACACTCTTCCCTCCTTAGCTTGCATACAATTGTGCCTTTTTTCACCGTAGATATTCACTCCAAAAATGATTCTAATAACCACAGATAGTCACTTACGATTGGTGTCAATTTCATCAAAAAGCGCCTCCACTGCAGGAAGCGTCCATCCACTCGCCAACCGTCGAAAATTCTGCACAACTTGATCATGCTTTGCGTTTCCCACAAGTAGAAAACCATTATCATGACGGAGAGTTCCTGAAATAAGCAAACATATGTAATCGCTAAGAACAAGAACTGCGGAACGAATCGTAGAGGTGTCTGACAGACGACTGGGGTGTGTGAAACTAGATTCCCGTGAGTAATTTACCATCGAGCAGTTGAGTTTTCATAAGTGGAAACCAGAACTGCTTGTCATATTTTGACAGACAGTCGACTGGCTAGAGTGACAATAAATTCGGTTTTGAGAACCTTTAGTTGGGTATACGGTTAATCTTTAAGCTCTATTGAGTTGGTGGTAATTTTGGGTACCTACGTGTAATTGTGGTCTCTCTTCGCATTAAGCGAATAATCCTAGCGGGAGCATCTAGGAACCTACAAACCTAGAGCGTTATCCCTATGGGTTACCCCTTGAGTTATCGGTGTTAATTTGCAATTAATTTTCTAAAACTAAATTCTTCCTATATTTCACTGACATCGCATTCTGCGTTGCACACGAGCCCTATCGTACTATCAGAGAGCTGTCGTAAGAACAGCAGAGTGCAGCCGCCATTTGGTTCCCGATGGACGGAGTTCGTTGCACGGCCTCGCATCTCGCAGTATTGTGACGATCTTTACCCTAAGTGTACACTTAGCTTATGTATATAAAGGTAACGCTTGACGTCAGCCACGGATGTATGTTGGTTTAGGATGTAGCTTCAACTGATGCTATCATTAGGTATTATTCGACCGCTGAAGAGCGCCACTAAACTGGAACACTTCCCTCTCGATCTGTGCTAGCTATAAAATGATGTACGTATTCTATTGATTGTTTAGTAAAATGAGTATGTCATTCTGTCCATTTTTCTTCAGATGCCTTTTTTAAGGAGTGAATCCAAATGGCTTTCTGGAGGCAACCATATTTGGGGTGTGTAAGACTGTCCTTGCTTGTTTGCGTCAAGGAGATGAAGTAGTTGGTTTGAGGTGAGTGGGATTATTGCGCAGCGGGGAATGGAGAATTTACAGTGCTTGGCCTTGATATCATTTGCTTATGTTCGGATCGTAGGTTTAACTTTGTGTAAGTCATTGTCAATGAACCTGGTTGCATCACAGAATCCCCATAGAATAAGCAAAACCGTTCACTTTACCTTCTATACGCATCTACCGATTGCGAGCTTGAATCAGTAAGCGTTAATTGACCCATTAGAAATCCTGTTAAGCAATCCTTCTCATCCTATTCGTAATAGTCAATAAACGGTTAATACACTGCATGCTAACAATGTTAACCACTAGCAAATTCGACTTGGTGTGAATATTTACCTGAAAACAGCACCCAAACCCAACTTTGCACTATTAAGTAGTCGGGTTAAGATAGTTGTACTGGATTCGCCACACTTCAGTATATCTTTTCTTCAGTATATCTTCTTCTTCAGTATATCTTTTTTGCTGAACTGAACTGGTATTGAAGTTACTATGGGGCGGTTGCCCGGTGCAGTCCTTCTTCAATACCGTGTGCATTCAGTAATTTGCTCAGTTTGGTCAACCGAAACCACGACTACTCATCCGCCTGAAGTGGCATTTCTTTGTCTGACTAACGCGAAAACAAGCATACGTATCCAGTCCGATTCCGTGAGTATCCATTCTCACGAAAGATCCGATAAAATACTATTTTCTAAGACGGTTTTTTTCAAATCTACAGTGTTTTCACTCCCAGTACAAAACGTTACTTCTCCTGGTCTCACCTTCTTAATACCACTTTTGCTGGTCAGATCACTTTCATTCCATTTCTGTTTGATCCAACGAAATGAACCGCAGCCCGATCTAATGGGTCACTCGGCTCTTCTTTTGCTAGTTACTGGTTGTCGGCCGGTCGATCTGAATACTGTTACGAAGCGAGACCCTTTACCTGGCCGTCAGCTCAAATAGGCCGTCTATAGCTGTCGTGAATATGTTGGTTCCACAACCTTGTTGGCTTGTTATTCTGTAGGGTAAAATCTGATCCTACCGCCCTATCCATTGGCGTGAACCGCTGTTGCAAGCTACGTTTAACACACAAAACAGAGAACTTTCATACCCTCAACTTTCCTTAAACTGTTACCTGAATACCAGTCAATTTTTGGAATTATTTTTAGCAGTAATTGGTAGAAAACACAGCGAATTCCTCACCAGCGTCGACTTGATTTTACCTGATTATAACGAGCCTCTCCAGGTATTCTGGTCCGTAGCACCACTGAATTGAATGGAGTGCACTGACGGAATTGTGACTATTTATTTGGGCATGCAGAGGCACCCCCATAATATCAATATATTGCAGTTTGACGTAGTGTAGACGTTTGGCGACCCTTACACTAATGGCCGATAGAACATCCGAGTAGTGAAATTGTCTAGGGACACATTTCACGGAACAGTTGGAGTAAATAAATATTATTCGGTGAAACAATGCGTATCTAGGCAACCTAGATTACTTTTGACTCGAAAGATCGTGGCGTTTGATTTGTAATAAAGTGGCGTCTAATAGAGCTATTTTATCTCACAACTTCAGGCGTTGATTCATTCAAGGCCAAACTACACATGCCAAACTTGTTATTACTTGCGGCCTCATTATATTTTGGAATAAAATCTGCTATTTTCAAAATAATCAAACGTTGATTCCTAAATGTAAAGTGAGATGCCAACCTAAGGAAACTGCTGGCTGGCTATAGAGCAACTGAAACCCACCATTTTCTAGCGTGTTTGTCGGGTTCAAAGTCTCGGCACCCAGCATTAAAAATTTCGTCTGTGCAACGCTTGACTTCATTGCAGCCCGAACTGGTGACCACGATCAAAGTGTGGTGTTCTTCGTTTAAAAAGCTGCTAGCTGTTGGAGTACATAAATTTCACTCTTTTACGAGTAGCCAAGACCTCTCTTACGTATTCATTCAGGAGCTTGTGTACTTTTTTTTGCAGTTAAAAGCTGGCATAGTTTCACGTGAGAGAAATAGCCCGTAGCTCATCGTTTGTGTCATCAACCCTGCGTCACCACCTTTCCAGATATTAGTTTGGATTACAACTGGCGCAGATGCTGCTCCACAGTGGACTTGCACAACTTCTGTGATTGTCTCCTCGATCGCTTTGTGCGTTGAACCAACAGCATGTAACCATAACTGGCCTAGTGGATATCACGCCATACGTTTGTCCTTTGGATATACGTAACACTCGAGATCGAACTGCGCGCATAGTATGATGCGAATACCATGCAAAGCAAAAGTTGGATTGTTGCATCTTCCCAAGTGTCAGACCCGTTTTGCGCTTCAACAAATCTCAATCAAAACAATTCTGTTTGATTTGTCTGTTAGGACCTTACGACATTGGCCCCACTACTAGGTAAGTTAAACGACATGTAATTACTTAAAAAAGCGAGGTTTCGGCGCAATGGGGCTCTAACACGGGGGTCACAGTTTTCATTTAATCCAGGTTGATATTACCGTTTACCCATGGTCAGCAACAACTAGTGGGTTAAGAGATTCCACAAATCAAATAGCTGCTGCCCCGATGCCAGAAGTGTGAACGGATTAGCGTTCGAATGAATCAAGGGAGTCAGAATCTGAGTAAATAATCTTAGTCGGTAATTCTCATCAGACTCAAACATTACATGATGACGACAAAGTGGTAAATGTGCCGGATTGGGCTGCGTATTGATCAGAATGTTTAATTCCAACACGAACAAATCAATAAATCATGGGGTCATTGAAGGTGGCAAAGTCATCATGTAATGTTTGAATCTGATGAGAATTACCGGAAAAACTCTTTACTCAGATTTTGCCTCCCTTGATTCATTCTAATAAATGGAATTGTTTTATTGCTGAAGACCCCCATTCCCCGTGATTCAGACAAGCTTTTGGATTAGCGTTAGACCACAGATACAAGCGAAGCACTGAGTAGGGAATGAGCCGCTTATATGGTATGCGGTTACTGGATTATGATTAGGTGAGCCCTGTTTGGCGCCTCGGCTTAGGGGCTACTGAGCCATTGACCTTTTCTATACTGATCATCATTGTGGCGTTCTTTGGCGGTTCCATGCACCAAGCAAAAGATGGTCAGACAGGAATCCTTATGCCTATGACGCTTTTTCCGTTTTATCTCGTTAACTATGATCACTTCTCCTCGGTTAAAGTACTCAATGCTTACAATTAGTAAGCACAATCTAGTTGACATTTAGCGGATGGTTATCACTTATCGTCCACATTGTAAAGCACATCATGAGCTAAGCTTTTGTGGCAACTGTGTGGATGATCGATTACCGACAATGTACAACGCGGCCTAATCTCTTAACATGAAGCGTCTAGTCCAGAAACTCATTTGTACTGGAGAGAACGTAGCTTGCGAATACTCGTTTCATGAAGGTCGTAATCGGATTATCGCTAATGCGGGGTTTCATTTACGCCGATTCTCGGTGAGCCAATGGACACTGTCTTTCATTTGCTTTCATTTCTGCAAATTAATTTACACAACCTCTTCCCAGTTATGATCGTTTTCACCTTGCATTGTTAACATTCAAAAATATATATCATTACCCGCGATGTTAAATTCTTATGCTTGGCTCCACTGTAGAGTGATTGGTAGTTAGGTAAGTGATAATTTAAAGGAATTTGTTTACCATGAACTACGAATATACTTCAATTAAGAGTTAGCCGTTTGTCAGTTTTAATTTAAGTGAAGCATACTTTCATCAAACATCTAGATGGCAGTTTGACTCACTAGTTTCTTGGGTGTTCCTCTGGGAATACTGTTCTTCGGAAATCGGTGGTAGTGTAGGTATGTTCAACTGTGCCAGTCTCCTCTCCTCCTCACGATATTCCTTCAGCCGAACAGACACTTCATCCTCCGTAATTGGTTGGTAGTTAGATGGATGACCAACAGCATTAGGACTAACATCACTACGATGATAAGCGTAAGGTACCTGCTCTTCGACCGTAGGATTATTCTGCCATCCTTGTGGGTACGGGTTTACGTTCCAGGGACCATTCAAATCATGTGGGTACGATCCATACCAAGGGAACCTGTCGTTACTCATAGGTTGCCCCTGGTTCTCATACGAAACTCGGTGGGATCGAAGATCTGGGGGACGAAAAGACTGCATTTGCCGGGATGCTTGTGGCTCATATCTGGAAGGATTTACACGTAGTAGGTCATGGGAGACGTATCCACTATGAGGCTGGGAAGGTTTAACATGTGCATGAATTCGACCGCTTGGGGAGTTGTAACTTGCGTCAGCATACTGCTCTTCAACTGCCAGACTGTCCTGCCCGTGGCTATCATAATAGTAGTGCGAGAAACGTGACTGAGGCGGAGGTGCTCCCATGAGGTTATAATAATTTCCTGAATGATCTTGATTATTTCCATTCGGCTGCCTCCACTTCGAATATTGGGACTTTGCCTCTTCGGTTGGCACTTTGTATTCAGACGCGTGTTGTACGCGATCCACGTACCAATTGTTAGATGCTGATTGATCTGACTGGTAGTTTTGCGAATGAGGTCTTCTCAGCGGTACACCACGATCAGAGGATGGTGTTTGCCCGCGGAACCCCAAATCCAGGGGTGGCATGAACACTCTTGGGGGTTTACTTCGTTGGTGAGTCTGTGAAGAATAAGGTCGAATATTGCCTAGACTCATGGGTTTCGCTCGAACCTGGCCGACTGATTCGCATGTACTCAAAGAGCCAAGTAAAATGCATAGAATTCCAAATGTGCTCTTCCTGTACCCGAAGCCGAAATTAGCGATACTCTCCACGGTGTGAATAACTGGTCGGTCACTCCAGCCTCCGGTATCACTAATACCAGAGATTGTGTTCTCAGTTTTAAGATATTTACTGAGAAATTTCTGACAGAATAGGGCTGCACAGGGGAGCAAAAACTGGTAAACTTTTCCAATGAATGGTTGATAATCCTGGTGATACAACAAAAGTGTATTGGAGGTTACAGGTTGCCGTAGAAACTTGACGCCGTCAAAAACGTTAGACAGCGCGAGATGGAGAAAGAAAAATATAGATGAAGGGAGCGGCGGTTGTGTTTTCAGATGCCAGAGTATTCTAAAACAGATGATTTGTTGTTGAATTAGCGTGCATGGATGCCGCATATAGAATGAGTTTCATCCGGCACACAGGACCTGGCGTACATAAGTTATCCGAGTGGTTATATTACTTCTGATCACTGTGGCACTATTCACTAATAAACGTTCTATCACAATTGTCGTCTTCCTTTTCACCAGCTATTCAGTAGTATCACATAGTTCCGTTCACTGCTTTGTTATGGTCACCAATATCAGCAGCTTTCGCTGCGCGTAAATAGTTCCGGAAGAATTAGCCGTCGGTCTGTCAAGCAAATGGATGATTGTCATCAGGGAGCCACGGAAAGAGGATACGGGCAGCTGGAACGCGGCAACCGTGCTACCGCTTCCAGGCGTGAGGGCACATATACAAGACACCAGTAAAGCACGTTACTTTCAGTGATCCGAGGTATTCTGCGTTTGTCGTCTCATACGCGCTCTCTGGCAGATGGGCTCGACACACGCACACATAGCTGCATACAAGCCGATGCTATCCAATGACAGTCGGGCAGGTGAACGTGTGTGTAGAATTGCGTTCCGCGCGTAATGTGTGCGAGCACCACCAAGTCTCACTGATGCCGGATGGTGTCTGGTCAAACAAGCAGGTGGTGTACGAAACATGGGCGGTAGCTCGCGTTGAACAGCGCGTAGATGAGCAGGCCCATTTAGGTGTCTATTCTTCTGGCCTACCGCGCGTAAAGTTCACATGCGTACTTAGGCATAACTCTGGTGGTTTTGTACGCTTTCAGTGTATTGGCGAAATAGCTGGACATAAACTCCATATTGGCTAACCGTGATAAATCAGCGATTTTTCACTAGGGTCTCCAGGCGAGCGGGATAATCAGTGACTCATTTTCTACGCCGATCGATGTGAAAAACAATGCAACAGATCGATCAGAAGGGTTTGGTAAGCTTGACGCCAAGTGCAATTGGAGTTCTGCTCATAGTCAGTGATATCAATTATGGTGTATCTGATCCAGGAAATATGGCACCGAGTGTGCACATCCGTGAAAAACCGAATTGCGAGCTGTGTGCAACATTGATAATAGCATAAGACTGTTGTTCGGCAATGAGCGTCATTCCATCCAGTGTGTCAGTTACTGCTTCATCATCATTACACGTTAGCTGCAGGTGGAAAACACCTCAGCTATTGTGCCGCAATACAAAAGGTAAGAAAAGAAAAACAGTGGCACGCCCGCTGAGTCCCCAGTAACGGATGGACATCGTTCCGGAGAGCTAACAGCTGGCTGCCGTAAAAGAAAGTCATATTATGCCTAACGATTGAGATCGTGATTGGAGGGGGATGCTAAACAGGAGGGGGATGGACAAAGGAACTCACAACACAAACGCCATTGGGGCCGGCTCCTAGCCATATCAGCAAGTGTGTCCAACCAAACGTGTTCACCGTCCTTAGGACCCCAGCCAGGCAGTCGGGATGCACCAACCGACGCCAACTTCGAAGTGAAGGTTTTCATTTCTCGCGACCAAATCATCACTTGACCTCCCCTCCTCCTCTTCCAACCGCACCCACAGCGCGCAAACAATGCACGTCGCGGGAGTCGGTGTGCTGGCATGCGCAACACGTGGCCCAGCCATCTGAGCCTGGTGCGTGATATAATGGTGCTGAGCGGTTCACTCGCTCTTCCTGCACCAAATACGCGACGCCGAACACGCTCATTGCTCACGCGGTGTTCCCACCAGACATGAGCTAAGCTGCGAAGGCAGCGATGATCGAATGTGACGAGTCTCTTCATGTCTGTCGACCTGATGGGCCAGGTTTCACAGCCATATAGGAGAGTTGAACGTACGGCTGCGTTGTAAACTCTGTCCTTGAGGACGAAATGTCGCGTCTGCGCCACAGGTGGCGGAGATTGGCAAAAGCAGCTCGAGCTTTTGCTGTACGGTTCGTAACCTCATCTTCAATCCCACGGGTGCTAATAGAGCTGCCCAGGTACTTGAATTCCTGAACGAATTCTAGCAGATCACCACCAAGCGTTAGCGCAGGGTTGGGTCCCTGCCAATCTTGGAGAAGTACTTTGCATTTCGATGGAGGAGAAGTACTTTGCATTTCGATGTACAGTTACTGCTTAGTACGAGCTTGTATGCTTAGCACAACAGAAAGCTTTAAATATACTCCTTTTCAAGGTTGCCAGTGCAATCACACAAGAGACGATTTTGTGATGCATCATCTCTGCAGTTATATAGCACTTCGGTTGGAAAATGTTCGCCGTCTCGTGCACGTCATTTAACCGCGGCGTGTGCCGAGGTGGTGCATATTCGACGGATGTTTTGGCTCGGAGTACTGGGTGCTAGATATTTCTGGACTACCTAGAAAGACATTGCAGCCTCCACGATATTCATATTCCTAATGTTTGGTTCCTTCATGAAGCGGGTATTAGTGTTCTCACCACTCTAACCTAAGCACTGTAAGCATGTTTCCATAGAAATTGCATTTTTAGCGTGCGTTTTGAAAGTATATAGGCCAAGTCGATCGGAGTCTTAATGCGTTCTTCCTAGTGTGATTCCCCTGGGACTTGAAATGAGTATTGTAGGTGGGACTGTGGGTGGTGTATTGCACACTACACATCACCCGGCTCTAAGTGCAGGTGCACGGCCTAACGGATCCACAAACCTAAAGACGGAAGTCAGCAAATATGTGACGTACTGAGGTAGTTATCACCTTGCATGTATTGAGCCCGTAAACAAGTAAATGTCGTCTCACTAATTTTGCGCAAACCTACTTCCGCGCACACACGACACCACAGGATAAGATAAAGCACTCAGTTAAATCCTTCGTTTTCTACACAAATCACACTGATTGGGCTATTTACTTTCCCATAAGGGTAGTTAGTGCCTATATCTGCTGTCTTTACTATTTCACCAAATATCATTATTCTTCCTCGTCACAATTTATATCCAGACAGAGGGCACTCACGCTATGGGTTAGCCACCTGCCTCATCCATTGTTTGAAAACCCGGTTATCAGACTACATAGATAGCACTTACGAAAACTCCCTGGAATCACCTGGAACTCCTGGAAGACCATAGTTTATACCAGGGGTCACCAAACTATCGCCCGCGGGCTGGATCCGACTCGCGACGTCACTTCATCCGGCTCGCGGACTGCACCCGAATTAGCTTGATACATCGTAGGGAACACGAGACGCTGTGATAGAATATGCATCTGACACGGCATGTCACATTGTCAGTGACCTCACACTGTTTGAACACTAACTTGACCCCTTTTAAGGTTGTTACATGTGAGAACGTACTATCGTACAATAAGTGACCCCACGTCGTTTGAACACTGCTGTGAGTGTTCACACATGAAACCCATTCATCAGTGCACCCTAACATGTGTCTCTTCACCTCACAACTTTGTGCCACAATATTGGGATTGGTTGGATCACTCGAATCACGCGTCACAGAAAATGCCACTAGTTAGTGCATTTGTTATTTTGTAGATATATTTGGAATAAATTGCAGGTTGATAGTACGGAATTGCGCTAGAAGCGCAAATCATTGAGGATCATACATTTTGGTCAACCTGTCTAAGGCGAATACTCAAGGGACCGACAAAAGTGGTCGCCATAGGCAGCTTCAGGCATAGGGGCATTATTCATAGGAGAAAAAGTTGAGAATGCTTTTGGCTGGTCGCCATAGACAGGTGGTCGCCATAGCAGGTTGGACTGTATTACTACATACATGTCCCCCAGTGGCCGCTGATTCACTTTTTCTGACATTGTAATTGAATTTCTGTTATGTCTGTAATTCAACATCTTTATTTTGTTCGGATCCCATTTAGTTCAGTCTACGGACGAAGTATAACGAATGTCACATTTTGTTGTCCTTTTTCTCTATGTTTGCGTTCTGAATCCCGATTATTGCGCATAGTGATTATAGGTCCCACGCTAATCATTTTGTTAGGTATCCGACCAGCGTTAGTCATTTTTCCGGTAATCCATAAAAGGTTTTGGTGCCCCGTGGTTCAGACCATTAGATGCGCGTACCTTTTTCACACACAAGCCCGACTGAGGTCGCGCTTCAATTGAATGTAAGATTCAGTCATTTGGTGAGACAACCTACAGCTCTGCTTCTTCTCGACTTCGTAGCCCACGGTTGCTGTCACTTTTGTCTAGACTATTTCATTAGGGACGCGATTATATAAGTGTAGAGATTCGGATCCTAGAGTTTGAAATCCCTTTGGTCCTTGAATTGGATGGATGAACTGGAAATACGTACTGTATACTAAATTCTCCCAAAGGAAGTCGAACCTCGTTTATTCACTGACATATACTACTGTGACTCTAGTCCCACCTCGGATATGTGGGCAGTAGACGGTACGAAGACTATAAGCACTTGGAAACAAGGAAGGGCAAAAACAAGTAGTTGAACTTCGCACCTTCTGCTGTGTCTGTTACTATGTTGTAAGTCACTTAGATTGGAACAGAGCTGAATTGACAATGCTGTCACAGGCGCTTTAAGTCGCGTTACTTAACCCGATGACTATGTTCCCCCGGCCAGATGGCGTAATTCACCGAACCATTTTTTAACTTGCTCTTATAATTTTTTTATAAACCACTGACGTGCGAGTGTCGCACGCGTTGATGCCGCACCAACTCCAAGTTAGTTCACGCAGCACTTGGCGCCCAATCGGTGTTGGCAATCTGGACTCAATATATATTTTAAAACAGATTCACAGATTTGCATCAGCTTTTTTCGCCCAATTAATTTTTCTGAATTTTCCCTTCGTCGTGCGTCGCATCTACTTTCAGCTAATAAGACTACAAGCTCCTCACTTCCTATGCCCATTCCCTTATTTAGTAAGTAACCATATAGACCGTTTCATGTCATATAACCTGGATAAGTACATAACAGAGAATCTGCTACGTTAGCTGAACACCTCATCGTGGATTGACTCTGAAGAACTCACCCCATTTTTTACAGTGAGTTTGCTACAAAAGTAAATGAAATTATTTACCTGGAGCATGGGGTGCCTACCAACGCTTCCTTGGGTCTTAATACGGGGA